GCCATGTGCAGAAAGCAGAAACCGAACCCCTTTCTGACACCTTACACTAAAATTAACTCCAGATGGATTAAAGATTTAAACATAAGATCTAACACCATAAAAACCCTAGAAGAAACCCTAGGCAAAACCATTCAGAACATAGACATAGGCAAGGACTTCATGGCCAAAACACCAAAAGCATTGGCAACAAAAGCCAAAATAGACAAATGGGATCTAATTAAACTCCACAGCTTCTGCACAGCAAAAGAAACAATCATTAGAGTGAACCGGCAACCAACAGAATGGGAAAAAATTTTTGACTCTACCCATCTAACAAAGGGCTAATATCCAGAATCTACAAAGAACTAAAACAGATTTACAAGAAAAAAACAAACAAACCCATTCAAAAGTGGGCGAAGAATATGAACAGACACTTTTCAAAAGAAGACATATATGAGGCCAACAAACATATGAAAAAATACTCATCATCACTGGTCATTAGAGAAATGCAAATCAAAACCACATTGAGATACCATCTCATGCCAGTTAGAATGGCGATCATTAAAAAATCTGGAGACAACAGATACTGGAGAAGATGTGGAGAAATAGGAACATTTTTACACTGTTAGTGGGAGTGTAAACTAGTTCAACCATTGTGGAAGACAGTGTGGCGATTCCTCAAGGACCTAGAAATAGAAATTCCATTTGACCCAGCAATCCCATTACTGGGTATATATGCAAAGGATTATAAATCATTCTATTATAAAGATACATGCACATGTATGTTCATAGCGGCACTGTTTACAATACCAAAGACCTGGAACCAACCCAAATGCCCATCAATGATAGACTGGACAAGGAAAATGTGACACATATACACCATGGAATACTATGCAGCCATAAAAAACGATGTGTTAGTGTCCTTTGTAGAGACATGGATGACTCTGAAACCATTATTCTCAGCAAAGTGACACAAGAACAGAAAACCAAACACTGCATGTTCTCACTCATAGGCGAGTGTTGAACAATGAGAACACGTGGATACAGGGAGGGTAGCATCACACACTGGGGTCTGTTGGGGGGGATTAGGGGAGGGACAGCGGGGGGTAGGGAGGTTGTGGAGGGATAACATGGGGAGAAATGCCAGATATAGGTCATGGGGGGATGGAGGCAGCAAACCACATTGCCATGTATGTACCTATACAACAATCCTGCATGTTCTAGACAGGTATCCCAGAACCTAAAGTGCAATAAAATATGTATTTAAAAAAATAGACATTTCTCCAAAGACATACAAATGGCCAACAGGTATATGAAAAGATGCTCAGTGTCACTAACCATCAGGGAAATGCAAATCAAAATCACAATGAGGTTATCATCTCATGCCTATTAGGAGGGCTGTTATCACAAGAAACAAGACAAGTGTTGATGGGGGTGTGGGGAGATTGGAACTCTTGTATACTGTTGGTGGGAATGCAAAGTGGTACAACCGCTATGGAAAACAGTATGGAGACTCCTCTAAACATCGAAAATAGAACTGCCATATGATTCAGCAATCCCACTTCTGGGTATTTATCCAAAATAACTGAAATCAAGATCTTGCCAGGTGTGGTGGCTCATGCCTGTAATCCCAGCACTTTGGGAGGCCGAGGCAAATGGAATGCTTGAGGCCAGGAGTTGAAAAACAGCCTGGCCAGCATGGCAGAACGCTGTCTCTACTAAAAATACAAAAAATTAGCCAGGCATGGTGGCAGGCGCCTGTAATCCCAGCCACACGGAGGCTGAGGCAGGAGAATCATTTAAATCCAGGAGGTGGAGGTTGCAGTAAATTGCACTTCCAGCCTGGGTGACAGAGTGACTCCATTTCAAATATATATATATATATATATATATATATATATATATATATATATATTAGCACTCCCATGTTTATTGCAGCATTATTCACAACAGCCAAGATGTGGAAATGACTGGAGTGTCCATCAACAAATTCATGGATAAAGAAAATATGGCATAAATAACACAACATAATACTATTCACCCTTAAAAAGATAAATCGGCCTGGCATGGTGGCTCACGCCTATAATCCCAGCACTTTGGGAGGCCGAGGCAGGTGGATCATCTGAGGTCAGGAGTTCGAGGTCAGCCTGGCCAACGTGGTGAAGCTCCATCTCCACTAAAAATATAAAAATTAGCTGAGCATGGTGGCACTCGCCTGTAATTCCAGTTACTCGGGAGGCTGAGGCAGGAGAATCGCTTAAACCTGGTTCACAAAAGTTGCAGCAAGCCGAGATTGCGCCACTGCAATCCAGCCTGGGCAACAGAGCGAGACTCCATCTCAAAAAATAAAAATTAAAAAAAAAATTTTTTTTAAAGAGGGAAATCCTGCCATTTGTGACAACATGAATGAACCTACAGCACATTGTGCTAAGTGAAATAAGCCAGGCACAGATTAACAGATACTGCAGGATTCCAGTTACACAGGTATCCAGGTCAACTTTGCAGAATTAGAGAGTCAAAGGGTAGTTGTCGGGCTGGAGTGAGGGGGTAATGAGTTGCTGGTCAATGTGCATAAAGTCTCAGTTATGCAAGATAAGTAAGTTCCAGAAATCTGCTGTGCAACACTGTCCCTACGGTTAACATTATCGTATTGTATACTTAAAAGTTTAAGAGGGGCCAAGTGTGGTGGCTCATGTCTGTAATCCTAGCACTTTGGGAGGCCGAGGTGGGCGGATCACTTGAAGCCAGGAGTTTGAGACCAGCCTGGGCAACATGGCAAAACCCAGTCTCCATTAAAAATACAAAAATTAGCCGGATATGGTGGCACATGCCTGTAATCCCAGCTACTTGGGAGGCTGGGGCATTAGAATCACTTGAACCTGGGAGGCAGAGGTTGCAGTGAGCTGAGATCACACCACTGCACTCCAGCCTGGGTGACAAAGCAAGATTCTGTCTCCAAAAGAACAAAAAAACGGTTGAAGAATGAAAACAGGGGCTGGGTGTGGTGGCTCACGCCTGTAATTCTAGCACTTTGAGTGGCCAAAGGGGGCTGACTGCCTGAGTTCAGGAGTTCAAGACCAACCTGGCTAACATGGTGAAACCTGGTCTCTACTCAAAAAATACAAAAATTAGCCGGGCATAGTGGTGGGCACCTGTAATCCCAGCTAATTGGGAGGCTGAGGCATGAAAATCTCTTGAATCCAGGAAGTGGAGGTTGCAGTCGGCCGAGATTGTGTCACTGCACTCCAGCCTGGATGACAAAGCAAGACTGACTCAAAAAAAACAATTGAAAACAGGAGGTAGAAACATGAGTGATCAACTAGTCCAGTTCTCTCTCCCACAAATGCAACTTAGAAGATGCCAGGAACCTGCTCATGGCACCCAGAGGGTGGTGGCGCTGGGCCTTCGGTCCAGTTTGAGGCCCAAGCCCCACCCTCATCATTCTCAATCAAGAGGCCTGATAATAAGGATGAAAAGCCATCTACACACCGCAATCCTCACCACACACAATCGGCTGCATCTCTTTATCCTTTCGTCTTGGGAAGAAGCTTACAATTCTGCAAGTGGGTGGACACCCTGATGTGAGCCCCCATTCCAGCCAGGAGGGAAGGGCACAACAACCTGCGCGGTTAGGGGGCAGTTCAAGGAATCGGAGAGCTCCTCCAGCCTCTTGCCAGGTGCCCTCACACCCTCGGCTTCTCGAAGGGTAACTCAGGACTCTCCCAGCAGCCTTGACAATTCCTACTACTGCCACCATGCTGAGGCTACTGGGTTCGAGTCCATCCCTATCCCGCAGTCAGAACCCTGGCCTTCCTCTCTGCTGCTGGCCTGATGCCGGCTGGCAACAGGGAGAACGAGCCAATCAGATCCACTGCAGACCCCTGAGTTTTCATGAAATGAAAATACAAGCACACAAGAAGTCCAATGCAGTTACAGATCCTTTATTTTTAAAAAGGGTTCTTCCCAGGACTCCACTAAAAAGACCTCCTTTCCCAGATATGAAGTATGGCCTGGCATGCCAAGTGCTCTGGGTACAGGGAGTGCACGTTTGTTGAGTGGGCAACTGCCTGCCTGCTGAGGTCCCCAGCCACATATGAACACCTGTCCAATAAGCAGTGCAGAAGCTGCCCTGGTCACCTCCTCCTGAACCACCTGCTTGCTATGTTCCCGACACCCACCAGCCCTGAGCCTCACCGATGGTCCAGGATAAAATAGTCAGATGGGATTAACAGTCAGCCTTGTTGGCCGGGTGAGGTAGTTTATGCCTGTAATCCCAGCACTTTGGGAGGTCAGGGCAGGCAGATCACGAGATCAGGAGTTCGAGACCAGCCTGTCCAGTATGGTGAAACGCCATCTCTACTAAAAATACAAAAATTAGCTGGGCATGGTGGCAGGTGCCTGTAATCCCAGCTACTCGGGAAGCAGAGGCAGGAGAATTGCTTGAACCCGGGAGGCGGAGGCTTCAGTGAGCTGAGATCACACCATTGCACTCCAACATGGGCAACAGAGTGAGACTCTGCCTAAAAAAAAAAAAGTCGCTCTTGTTGATCAGCTCCCAGAATGGGGAGGGTGCCTGGCTAGCTTTGAGTTCTAAGAGCATTGGCCCCACATGGACATTCCAGGTCTATGAAACCATCTGCAGAAGGGCTTTCACCTGGGAGACACCTATTGAGATGCAAATAATCCTGGGAGGACCTCATCTCATTCCCTGGTCTCTGCACCTAGCTGGCCAACTGGAGACAATCTGTCTAGGAGGAAGAGACTGAATGGAGCTGATGGAGGGAACAGCACCCCCAAAGGAGATGCTATCTACAGCCTGCTCCAAGGCAAGAAAAGCCTCAGGCAGCAGACAGGTGATATGAGGAAATGATTTTACAAAACCTCCAGGTGGGTCCAGATCAGGTAAGTGCTGAAGGTCAGAGACGGGCTTGGGCAAGGTGGGCAATCAAGCACAGGTGTCTACACATGAAAGAACCCCTCCACCCTGCCCCAACCCTGGGGATTCAAAGACAAGGCCCATGTTTTGAAAAATATAAAATTTTAATAAAGGCTACATCTCTTAATTACAATAATTATTGTACCAAGTAGTTTTCCTTAAATGAACTCTTTATAATGCATAATTTACAGTATAAGTAGAACAAAATGCCATGACAAAAGTCATTGAGTACAAGACTTGTAATAAAAAGGCATAAAATATATTTATACATAAACCCCTTTCAAAAAACAAGGGAAAGCTTGAGCCCTCAATATAGGGCGACGCACGGAGTGGGTGACCGTGCAGGTACAGGTACTGTACTGATTTAAAGTCGGGCACTAGAGATAGTGGATTGGTACTCTCTTGCCGAACACTATATACAGATGTCTAGTACAAGTAACAATGGCAAACAGAATGTACAGATTAACTTAACACAAAAACCTGAACATCGAAATGCAGGTGTCTGGAGGAAAGGTGCTGCTGGGTCTCCCCACAACTGCTGGTTTCTTTGTGGGGCAAGGGGTAGTTCCTGAATGGCTGTGGTCCAATGACTAATGTAAAACCAAAACCAAAAACCAAGGACTGTCATTTCCACGAAAGCACAGCTGGAACCTCGCAGCAGTGACTCTGGCGGGCCTCGGCCGAGGAGCCCTGGGCCTGGGGAGGCTACATGAGGTGGAGCCTCAGTCACAGGATCAACCTGGGGCCCCAAGGAGTGAGGTTCCCTGCCTCCTCCTCTGCAACGGATCACCCCATCCAACACAATCCCCAAAATGCTGATGATGATGACACAACATGGTCAACCATCAAGACCTTTAAGACAAAACAGAGCAGCATACGAAAAAAAAAATGCACCAATTTCTGCGCGAGTCAATGGTAGGGCACCATTTTAAAAAGTCTGTCTTCACTCGGAGACGTAGTGCAAAGCGTTAATTCCTCTTTTAGTGAAGAAACCATGAACGCACTCCTAGCTCAACTCCTAAGTTTTAAGTCAGAACAATTAAAACTTCCTCTTTCCCCCTTCCAAGTTTAAAGCAGCATATCCATAAACTGGGGATGGGGGAATCAGCTGTTCTATAAATATCAGTAAGGATTCCTGTTCAGGTAAGCTCTACACAGTTTCTCTTAGTTTATGGATTTCAGATCCCTAGGAAGTCATATATTATGTATGGCAGTCTCTCAAATACAGTCAGCATCTTCAATAGCCAAGAGTGGTCATGTTTTTAATAAATAGTTCAGGCTTTTCTTATCTCAGTCAGTACCCAGCTCATGAATAATCAAAATCAACCTCCCCCCACCCTCCCGAAGGCCCACTGGCCGATTCTCCCCTAGACTTTGTCTTCTTCATTGGTTTAATTTTCCTTCAAAATGTTTTGTCGCAGTTGCTCACGGCCAAGACGGGTCACAAGAGCTTCGGGCTCCAGCAGTTCACCAAAGCCAGACCCCAAAGGCTCAATCAATCCGCTCCACTTTGCCCAGAATCCGGCCTTCATACATCGGGAGCACTGTCTCGTCGTCCCAGACCTCCTCAAAAACCGCTCCACAGGCAAACTCATCGCTTGCTTTTTTGAAGTAATACCTTAAAAGGAATACCAGAAAAGCTTCTTGGTAAACTGCATTTTCCACATTGCTGAAAAGAAAAGCACGCCAACATGGAGGACTGAGGTATCCTAGGAATCTACTAGGTATGGCAGGCGTGCACGTATGCTGGCTGCCCACATCTGCTTTAAGTCGGCAGCTGCGACTGGCCAGACCACACGAAGCAGGTGGGCTGAGATGACGGAGGCCGGGCACGCTCTGAGCAGCAGCCTGGACTGGGCCAGCCACCTGCAATTCTCAGCCCAGCGCCTCTGCTGCTCCTGACACACATACACTGTGAAGAGCAGAGCTGCTGCTTTCTCCCCCAAACTTTTTCAGCAGCGGGGTGGGGTAGGGGACAGGAGGGAAGGAGAAACGTCTGCAGTTCCTTTGTAGCAGCAGCTGAGCGGGTCCTCCAGAGACTCCAGAATTATCTCCAGGATCAGCCATCCTGAACCTGTCACCTGGAGAGCCAGAACCTGCCTAGGTCTGCGAGACTTCCAGATAGCCTAGCAGTCCCGTGGCCTCTCAGCCTTCCCATCCTTCAGGGCCCAAGTGCAATGCTCCTGGATGGCCCTGGCACAGCCACACGGGAGGCAAGCCAGCCCAGCGCAGCTTCCCAGGGTCCAACAGACGGCACTGGCCCATGATGCCCTCCCCTCTCCTCCCCATTTCCATGCCTCTTCTCCCATCCCACCCCTCCAGGGTCAAACACCAAAGGCCCTTCTATTATGCCCGTTGATTAAAGACTCCTTTTATCCCTCCCCAGCACTCTTCTGAGGCTGTTTAATTGTACAGATGCAAATGCCTGGCCTCTCCCTAGGAGCGTCCTCTCAGGCCAGGCCCACCCCCAAACCCCTTCTGAGGAAATTAAGCAAGGGCCTCTTCCTTCCCTGTCCCCAGCCAAGGGAGACCTCTCAGAGGGATTAAACTTGCCCCTGCAAGCTGTCATTTCCAGCCCATAAAGGCCACTCACAGAGGGAAGGTCACAGTCCCGGGGGGGATGGGAGAACCTTTCAAACATTTAATTGTGTCTTAGGGTTATGGCTGGGCTTTTTGTCTTTTCTCTTTAAAAAGAAAAAAATTAACTCCCCTTGGTTAGAGCTCCACTTTTTTTTCCTCTCTAATAAAGGCAAGCCAAAACACTTTCGTAGGAGATAAGACTAAATACAGTGAACAGCTGGGTTCAGTCAAGGTTCTTTGTTTTTAGCATTCCTGACCCAGCTAATGCATCAGGGTGAACAACGGCATGGCTCTGACTGGGCAGCGCTGAAGACGCCTCATGCCAAGGGGTCAAAATTCTCAGGGGAGCCTGAGAGGAGACAGTGAGAAAATAGGGAGGGGCCCTGTGCACAGGAGACCTAGGACAGTGGGGGCGGGGGGGAGTCACTTTTCCAAAAACGAGGCTCAAATCTCAACACCACCCTCCATCAGACCCCTTTGGCCCCAGCACCAAGGACCCCTCCAGGGTTTACCAAGTTGGGCTTTCACAGCATGTCTGAGCAAACACGAGGCGACCTTTTACATAATTGCAACCTCCTCCAGAGAGGAGAGAGGCCACATTCTCTCGGCCCCACCCCCAGGACTTCAAACACACTGCACTGCCCTCATTTTCTCCAAGAAACTGGCTTTTCCACTGCAACATGCTTTATGTGGCAAACTTTGCTTTCTTCTGACATCTGGCACCAATAGCGTCTGGCGCGTCTGAAGGGCCTATTTGCTTTTTGAACTCCTGCCATGTTGAGATTACTCAACGCATCCCGGGTCCCCCACCTCCCACCCCTGCCCCAGAGCCCCAACCTCACTGGGTCTTTTTTTATTTTTTTGAAGGGTTGGGGGATGTATTTGTACAAATTGAGATGTCGGAGCACCAGCCCTGCTGAGAGGGTGAGGCATGACACCCTGTGTCCCTAGTGTCCCTATCCCCCGCCAGGAGGGCACTGAGTCCAGCTCTGGCCCTGCAGAGATAAGATGGCTAGGAGGGCCTTCCCACAGCTTGATCCAATCAGGAAAGAATTTGAGAGTCTTTGAGAGTTGACCATTTGTACAAGTCTTTGTGCATTAGAGGGGAGGCCAGGGCTTCAAAGCCAGGCTTATTAACTGTGCCTTAGGAAAAAAAAAATCAGAGCCAGATGTGGCCAGAGCAGCTGAGGGAGGCACCTTCCCTGCACGCCTCTGCCAGCGCCACACAGCTCCTCTCCCAAGGTCACCTGCAGCTCCTCTCCAAGTCCAGCCAAGACAAAGCCAAGATCCAAGTGAATCCCCAGAGGGGCACACTTGTATAATTAGCTTCACCTTGTGTCTTTTCAAGATAAAAGCAGCAGCAGCAGCCAGGCCTATCCCCCATCCCCTTGACACCTTTTCAAAACTGTTTCTGCCCAGGTGTAAAAGGGGAATATGCAGACCCAGCGACACACCCTGCTGGTCAATCACCTCCAGGGGCTCAGTCCAACCTCCACCCTCCCTGCTGCAAAGAGAATCCAGCCCCTGCCCAAACTCACTCCCGGATGAAGGTAAAACTCCTGGTGAAACTCCACAGGGCCTGCTCTCGAGGGGAGGGTGTCTCAGAGCCCGCAGGTGACTCGCCCACGTCCAGGAGCCCGTGCCCACCTGGCAGGTTACTAAGTGCTAGTCAGAGTTCTCCACTCACACCCCTGTCTATAGTGGTGGCATTGGGTTAACACCTACTGGGCATGCATGGGCTGTGGACCCGCACTGGCCCGCAGCACACAGCTGAGGAGCTGGAACTCTCTCTCAGTGCAGACCCCAGAGCAAGCACCTCCTTAAATTAATGTGTCCCTATCTCACCGGGACCCTGGTCCCGGCCTGAAGCCCTAGAGCTGAGACAGAACTGGAGTAGAATCCACATGTTCCCTTGAGCTACAGGCCATGGAGAGGGCCAAGGGAGGACCCGGGTGAAGTGAGGCAGAGCCATCACCTGCTCATTACCAGAAAAGCCATCAAGAGATGCAGGAGTGGCCTAGGGCTGGCCCTCATTCTCAGCTCCTGAATCCTCTCAAGGGCCCTAAAAGGTCAGCGTGGACCTTCTCCAGGGCACCTCTGTCCACTCTGCAGACAAGGTAAGAAGGCCCGGAAGTTCCCTTTCTGAGGCCCCTGCAGGGGAGAAGGCAGTGAGGCCCAGGGCAGGAAGAAGAGCCTGCCCTATTCACCCTCTGCTCACCCAGAGGTCCAGCCCCTTCTTTATTATGGACAAAGGTGCGCCCCTGCTTCAAATGGCCCATAAAAACCAGGGAGGCAGCTCTCCGGGTGGAAAGGCAGGCTAAGAAAATCACTGCTGACTTTTCCTAGCCAGGGCCTCTGACTATTTGGAGCCTTCAATGTGGGGGTCTCTCCTAAACCCAAGGCAGAAGGGCGGTGCTTCCACTCCCTCCTCCTAATCAGTGTGCCTGTCCCTCTTTTTCCTCCTCCCTCCCTAGGGGCTCACCCTTGGGCTGCTCCATTGCAGGTAAAGCCTCTGCAGGGTAGCCTGAACCCCACTCTCCTCCTGTCAGAGCGAGCAGCCCCTCCTTTTCTCCTCAATCTGGTTCACCTGGTGGAAATACCTGGCCAGGTCCCCAGAGAACCCTCCACGCAGCCTCCCTCTTGCAGCTGCTGCTTCATTATTGCTGCTGGTGGTGAGGGGAGAGAGGAAATGAGAAGGAGCCTCCGCGTCACCGGCAGCCACCCCCAGCGCCTGCACAGCCCCTCCTGCCCTGCCCCGCCCAGGTCTGCTCAGCCAGGGGAGCGGCTCCAGGCTCTGGCTCTTGGTAGTAAGCAAACAAACTGAGAGCAGAAAAAAGCCACAGGACTCTTACCTATAATTTCCCTTTTTGCTGAGCTGCTCTTTAAAGTGGCCCAGGGTCAAACTCTGAGCCTTCAGCATCCTCCGGTATGGAATTTCTTCCCCACAGAAAAAGTAAGTGACAACCAACTCACTGGCCTGGAGCGCCTGGACACCTGCCAGCTTCTTTGGCTCTTTGTGACTGAAAATAAGACAGAGTGGAACAAGTTCAGCATTTTCAAGCAGACACACATCTAAAGCAAACGCAAACGTGCACGTATGTGCACAAGCAGCAGGGTAGCTGAGCGCTAGGGCTGCAGCTGTAAGCCCCAAGTAGGGGCTGGGGCAGAGCCCCACATCCCAGAGGCAGCCAGCTCTGGGGGACACGCAGGCCAAGCCCACGCGCTCTGCATGGAGCATGCAGAAAAGGATGCTTTCCTTTAGGCTGTACAGAGTGATACCATTTCCCCACTGCCACCAAATGAAGGCATACAGCAGGCTCTTTCAGCTTAGCATCATGGGGTACTTCCTCAAGAAGATGAGAGAAGAGAAACTATCACAGAGATGCTGGGTCTCACCTGGACTGACAGTGCTGAAGAGACAAACCAAAGCAGGACAGCCCTGAGGATGGCATGAACTCCAAATGCCTAATGCCCACCCCTTACTCCCGCAGAATGAGAACAACTAATTATCCCACAGTCATGTTCATTTCCCCATTTGTTCTGAGAGTTTGCAGAGTGGCTTGAAAAAAAAGTTGCTAGGCTAGGTGTGGTGGCTCACACTTGTAATCCTAGCACTCTGGGAGGCTCAGGTGGGCGGATCATTTGAGGTCAAGAGTGTGAGACCAGTCTGGCCAACATGGTGAAACCTCACCTATATTAAAAATACAAAAAATGAGCTGGGCATGGTGGCAGGCACCTGTAATCCCAGCTACTCCAGAGACTGAGGCAGGAGAATCACCCGAACCTGGGAGGCAGAGGTTGCAGTGAGCCGAGATTGCGCCACTGCACTCCAGCCTGGGCATAAGAGACTCTGTCTCAAAAAAAAAAAAAAAAAAAAAAAAAAAAAGAAAAGAAAAAAGGCAGCTGGGCTGGACCCAGACAGCTGATACACTACTTAGGGTCAACCAATTAAAAAACAATGAAAGGGTCCAAGGTCCAGGGTCTAGGGTGGGGAACCTATTGAGGACTTCAAATATTGCTCATTACTCAGGATGAAGAAACTAAGAAAGAAAACTTTCTTTAGAGCATTTTAGATCTCTTTAGCAGATTTTTTTAATTGTGCCACCCTGTAATTAAACTGAGCAGGCTTCTCAATCTACTTTGAAAGAGACTAAATTTACAAATAGAATCACTGCCCAACTTGGGAGAAGATATTCTGTCTTCCCCAAGCAAAAACACAAGGATGTTCCCCGTCCATCTCTGCCACAGTGGAGAATGTCCTGCTCAGGGGTGACAAATGTTTCCAGTGCTACTAACTTGCAAGTTGAATGGGGGCAACTTTTGCAGCTGAATTTGAGGTCCCTTCTACCCTTCTGCTAATGGCTTCGTGTCCCAGATTTTTATTTGCTTAGGACCAGAAAAACTTTCGCTATGACGCATCTCTCGGTAGGACAGGTTTTCCCATGGATGGCGACATCTATGTTTACTGTTCCTCATCACTAGCACTAAAAATCAAGGTGATTTTAAATACCAAAAAAAATTTTACAAAAATCAAACTCCAGATAGCGAATACTCTGAAACATAAACCACTCGGCAGATCTCATAATGCCAGATAAAGACACTCACTCTTCTGGAGCCAGGCTTGGACTGGAGAAGGGCGTGGCTCCCACCTGAACAGCAGCCGAGTGACTCCTATCCCTCTGCTGACTGGCCACGCAGCACCTGAGGACACAGCCAGGGTGAGGGATTTAGAGGTGCATTGTTGTCCCCAGAGCAGTTGAGGAACAGATAGAAAATTACTCTCTTTGGCCTGAAGAGACACGAACCCGACTTCCATCCCTATTGAGACCCAAGCAAGTCCCTGGGTTAAAAGTGGCTGAGGAGGCCGGGAAGATGTCTTGGGATAGCCATTCTAAGCCCCTCAGGGAGCCTAGCACGGGATACTCTCCACCCCAGCAAAGGGCTGAGGGCTCCTGATCTTCCACCCTCGTGGTGTCTTATCCACTCAGCTAACCAGCCTTAAACAATCAAGACATTGGTAAGAAATGAGATTTGTAAGGAATTACTCAAATTCATGCTCCCAAACCTAGGCATGAGTTGCCTAACAGATTCTGGCTTAACTCTGGTAGATTGAACATAACTGAAGGGAACAATTTCTAGAAGCCGGAAAGGAGACTCTTACTCATCCAGAAGTAATTCTTTCTCTCTTGGAAGGGTTTGAAACCCAAACAGAAAAAGCAGCCCTCCCCAGTAGCCACAGACCTCCTTCTCCACCCAAACCCAATCCCTGCCTCAACCTACCACCCCTCACTTGCACTCACCGCTGCTTTGGGGGCTTAGACACCTCAGCCAGCCTGCGACAGGCCTCCTCCAGTTGAGCCAGAGTGTTGGGTGGGGTCAGGGGAGGCATTGCAGGGTCCTGGGTAAACAGGTGGGCACGGGGGGTGGTACGGGGGTGCCCGCTGTTGCCCCCCCACAGGTGGTGCCGGCTGGCTCGTTCACCCGGAGACGAGCGGGCAGATTCCAAGGGGTAGGCCTTTTTTGTGCTTTGGGCACTAAACAAGGAATGAGCAGAGAGAAAACAGAAGAAAAGAAACTGGGTTAGAAGAACTGGAAAATGTGACTTCAACAGAAACTTGTCTATTCTGCTCAGAGAGAGAGAAGAAAAAAACAACTACCATAACACGAACAGGGGTCAGTGCCAAAACATGACATTTTTGTGGTCTGCTCAGTCCAATGTTTAATATTAAGATGGCAGGAGCAAACAGTCACATTTGTATTCGGCAGACTGCAAAAATAGCCATTCCCACAATACCTCCGTACTGAGTGCCCATGACCCGCGCGGCCGCAGCGGCGGCAAGCGGTGTTTACCTATGGGGCTTGGGCTTGCTCTGCCGCTCACTCTCCAGCATCCACTGCCAGACATCCTGCGACCTGTCTCCTTCCTCCCGGGGAAGCTGCAGGGCCCCGGCTCCGCCAGGGGCCCCTCCTTCCCTGGCGGGCAGAGCCAGGCCCGGCTCCGTGCCTTTCCCATTGCGTTTGGGCAAAGTACTGCCTCTGCTGCCGCTGTGGGGAACCAAGAACCACACCCAACCCAGAGACCCGGTTAAATCTCCGGGACTCCTAGAATTAGACAATGTAGCAAGTACGGGGCGATGACACAAAAGACCCATGCACCTGGCTCCCCACACCCTCACCCGGCCGTGCCCTCTGCCGCCCTCTTAGAAACTAAATGCCTTTGATGTGGCTCCCACCTCACACCTGCCCAGGGACCTGGCTGGGAGACAAGCCCCACACAGCACACTGCGGTCTGCCCGGCACTTACCCAAACTGCTCGCCGGGCATGGTTTCTGGAATCTTAGAGTGGCTTTTGCATTTCGAGTAGCAGTAATACTCGGAGCCCCCGGGGCAGAAGCAGTGAACCCGCTGCGTGGCCTCCGCCTCGATCTCCTCCTTGGTCTTGGGGACGGCGTGGTGGTGGATGTAGTGGTGGTGGACATGCTTCGTCGTCTGCTTGGTCACAAAGCCCTTGCCCCCGAGGAGGGGGCAGGCACCTGGTGAGGTGACGGCTGGAGGCAGCTTACCACCGGGCGGGAGCAGGGAGTGGTACTGCGGGTGGTGGTGGTGGTGGTCCGGGGAGCGGGAGCGGGGACTGTAGCGGCCTACGCCCGGGGACTGGCAGCCAGGGGTCTTGAGAACCCTGGACAGGTGATCGTCCAGGATCGTCTGTGGGTCCTCCTCGTAGCTGCCAGAGGGCAGTAGGGAGAGGGGATGCTGTGTAGGTGCCCCCTCCCGCGAACTGAGTGTAAGCTCGGAGCCCTCCTTCTCTTCATCCTGAAAGGGAAGCCGTCAGAAGGGGAAGTGACCCAGAAAGCAGGAGGGCCCCTGAGGCCCTAGGGTTGCAATATTCGGCCCCATATGCAGGAGCACGCACACCCATGTGCACGCCCACAGCCACGCCTACGCGCATGCGCATCCTCATTCGACCTGCACACCCACGCAACCCACAAGCATGAGCACACCTTCAGAAAACCCACACACGAGCACACAACCCAGGCTCATGCACACGCCCACGCGCAACCCAGACACGTGCGCGCACCCCACGCACGTGAGCACATCCTCACACAGCGCAGCGCAGGCGCACACAGAACCCACACGCATGCGCACACCCTCATGCAAGCCGCATGCGCACTCATTCGTGCGCACACGCCTTGGGCGGAAGCAAGGAGAAAGCGTAGGCCACGTTACCTCTCGGATCTGCTGCAGGCGCTCCTCCAGGCTGTGGCGGCTCTCCAGTTCCAGCTTCAGCTTCTCCAGCCTGGAGATCAGCTCAGCCGCAAAGGTGGCAGGTTCCACGGGGGTCATCTCCTTGGGCAGGCGGTGGGTTCTCTATTGGATGTGGAAAGGAAAGGGAGGAGGCACGTTCAGCAGGCCGGGCAGGCAGTGGCTTGGCCGGAACTTCCCGCGCCAGGCGCTGCGCACCGCAAACCCATGTTCGGGTGGAGAGTGGATGGCAAGGCGGCCTGTGCTGCTCGGGACTTATATGCGCTAGCGCCATGGCCTCATGGAGAGCCATGGTCCCCACCAGCGTTTGCCTTGGGCAGGAGCAGTTGGTCGCACTCCGAGAGGCCCTGCTTGTTCTCTCTGTAGTACAACCAGCCCATCAGTAGCTACTCTGAAGTAGAAAATCTTCAAAGACTGTTGTCAAACATCAAAAAAAAAAAAAAAAAAAAAAAAGCAGCCCTCTGAGGTGGGGAGGGGAGAGACCAACTCAAGGAATAAAAAGTATTATCTAAACAGAAGGGAGTTGAAAATTTAAAAAAGTAAGATTGGAAAGGAGGTGGGAGGGAGGAAAGGGGGGGAAGGGAGTCAAAAGGCCTGGATCAGAGAAGAAGTGGTAATTTATTTCCTGGCCGCACACTGCGCACCTTTGAGGTGGTGTTGTCTCAACACTGTCCTCGATCTCCCTCGTTTTTCTCCTTCCCTCCTCCCTCTCTCTTTGTACAGAAAATGAAGAAAGCTGCTGCAGGCTAGTAGCAGAACACTGCTGAGCTTGGCTGCCTGAAGCTGATCTATCAAGGGAAAAGGGAACATCTCCAAATCAAGTGCAGAATATAAAAAGGCACCGAGTATGCCTGCCAAAAGCAGCAAACAGAGAGAACCCCTGCTGCCCAGCTTTCTGTCCTTTTCCTGTCATCTCGCTCCCCCCACCCAATCCCCCACCTCTCCGCTTGTTCTACCTCCTTCTTCCTAATCTCCCTCTTGCTTGGCTCCTTTCTTTGGGGTGGGGTGGGGTGGGGGGAGCAGAAAGCTAACTTGCAAAGGCCAGCATCTCTCCCAGCTGAAAAGATGGGCCTCGCCACAGCAACCATTTAGCTGCAGAAACTGAGAGGGGAGAAAAAGCCTCCTGTGTAGGTGGCCATTGTCACACAGCCTCCCGATCAAAGCGCTGCCTGATGGAGAAAGTCGATTTGCACACCCCAGGACAAAATCATCTAATTTACAAGCTTGGGCGATAGAACTTTTCTTTGTGAATGCACATATCCCCCAATCAAAAAAAAAAAAAAACAGTAATAGTATGTCATCAATACTTGTAATCTATGGTGGGAAGGGATGCTAGAGGTTCCCAGAAAACCAATCTTAATATGCTAATTTTAAAAGAAGGTAAGTCTGCCCTTGTCTGTGTGAGAAGCTTTACGAGAAGAGTTATAGTTTGTGTACTAAGGCAACATGGGATTCGCAATTCAATGTGTTAAGTTTTTAAACACAGCATAATGGGACAGACCGATTGGACTCTGAAGCTGCCAGGAAGGATTCATAAACACCTGCTGTGAGCTAGGTGCTTTCCTCCTCTCCTTAAAGAAGAGTGTCCTTGCAACCTGGGTCTGAGAGTATTGTAAACAGCACAGCCATAAAATGGGAATGTAGATGGGGAAGTTCTCTTGAGTATAGCCATGTGCTTGCTGCTTTAGGGGACATGGAAATAAACGGAGAGGTCCCAGAAAAGCCCTTTATCCACCATCTCAGTCACAGGAAGAAGCTGCTCAGGAGATCCTCACTTCTAAACACCCCGTTCATTCTGCATTTGATAGGCACAGACTCACCAGCAGGTACTAGGCCAAGTTTGGGGTTGGGGAGGAACAGCTACCCTCCACCAGGGCTTCAGAAGCCAGGAGGAAAATGGTCAAGTCAGTAGATAAATGGATGGCTAAAATCAGTGACTAAAATGTCTTGCAGTCCTGTAGTTGATACAAGAATAGAATGTCCTAGGGGAGAGAGGTACCTTATTCATTCAAATGTTTATTGAGCACCTATTATGTATCAGATACCGTTCTAGTCTCTGGATACTGAAGTTAACAGAAGAGATCAAACTCCCTCCTCTCAGAGGGCTTCCATTCCAGTGGAAAATACAATGAGGTCACCAACCTGTAGAGAAGCACGAATCATCTAGCATTTCTTGGTTTCAGGGAAAGAAGTGCTTCCATTTCTTTCTCATAGGGAACTTTTTTTTGAATTCAGAAAATGTAAAGGTTCAAAAATAGGTCACTGAACCTGATACAGTTTGGATATTGGTCCCCCCCCAAATCTCATGTTGAAATATGATTCCCAATGTTGAAAGTGGGCCTAGTGGGAGGTGTTTGGGTGCTTGGTGCCCTCCTTGCAGTAATAAGCAAGTTTTCCCTGTTCATATGAAATCTAGTTGTCTGAAAGAACATGGCACTGCCCACCCCCCAAACCCCAGCTTGCTGCTTCTCTCCCTGTGTTACACAGGGGCTCCCCCTTCACCTTCCATTATGATTGGAAGCTCCCTGAAACCCTCACCGGAAGCAGATGTTGGCGCCATGCTTCTTGTACAGCCTGCAGATCTGTGAACCAAAACCTCTTTTCTTTTCTTTGAAATGGGAGTCTTGCTGTGTTGCCTAGGCTGGAGTGCAGTGGCACGATCTTGGCTCACCACAACCTCTGCCTCCTAGGTTCAAGCGATTCTCCTGCGTGAGCCTCCCGAGTAGCTGGGATTACAGGCACGTGCCACCACACCTGGCTTATCTTTGCATTTTTAGTAAAGATGGTTTCACTGTGTTAGCCAGGACAGTCTCCATCTCCTGACCTCGTGATCTGCCTGCCTTGGCCTCCCAAAGTGCTGGGATTACAGGCGTGAGCCACCGCACCAGGCCGGCCATAAACCTCCTTTCTTTATAAATTACTCAGCTCCAGTTATTCCTTTATAGCAAAACTGACTGATACCTCATAATCATGTCACTGTGCTCAACATCACAACCCCAAAAACCATGTAATGTCTATTGTCCAGGTCTTTTCTCTCCCTTTGCCCTAGGGGACCTTAGGTACTGCTCTTTTCTACCTTTCCTATACCTTCCCCCTTCCACCTCCCCTTCCTTTTCTTTAGGACTCAACTTGGCAAAAAAAAAAACAGCTGCCTCCTCACTCCAGATTATACTCACCGGGAAATGAGGTAGAGACACTTGGCCATTGGCCTTCACACTGCGATGCATTTCTCTCTGGAGCTGTTTCTTACTCCCCACACGATAAGGAGGAATTCCATCTCTAAGGGAAAGGAAAAGACAGAACCCACAGGCTTACGAGGATGCTTTCAGCACATGGGCTACTCTCATACGCCATCTTGAGATCCCGCCACAGGGCCCCCTGCTTCCACAGGAGTGTCACATGTCTCCAGATACCATCGGTACTCCCACAGGTAAGGATCCACCCAATTATCAAATTTAAATCCTGCCCATCAATGATCTATGGAAACTTGGCTCCCTCGGATGCAGGAGCATCTACTTGGAAAGAGCCTGGAAGGCTTATCTCTTGGGCTATTGTCTTAGATCTGGGTTATACTCCAGCCAGCCCAGAACAAGGGCTCCCCTGTTTTACAGGTACCCCGAGAGTAGGAGATTCTCAGGCCCCAGTGGTCCTCCTAGCAGTCTTGTTGCCACCGCCTCAAACCAGGAACCAGTGCCTTACGGAGAGGACCAGGGCAGAAAAGTTGTAGGATAAGCACCAAACCTACAGAGGGCTAAGTCAGGCATTAGTAAAGTGTGCGTGACTCTCCAAGTCAACCCCCCAGTGGCTTCGAAATGTATTCTTTTTATAAACCACCATAGGGTGATTAATAAAAGAATATATAACAAACATTTTGGCCCCTTCTCTCAGCTCCAAACCCTGCCAGCCCCAACCAACAAATTCTCAAAGGCACATGACCAATGTGGGCATGAAGAGAAAAGCCCCTACTGTGTGGTGGTCTGTGCAATTCATTTAAAGATTTTAACACCTACTATGTGCCAGACCTTGTCCTAGGCACTAGGCAGGAGAGCAGCAGACAAAGTGAATACATAATTCAAACTGCCCTCCTGAAGTTTATATTCTAATGGGGAGGCACAAACAATGAGCAAAATAAAAAATGGTGTGTTAGTGGTATATACTATGAATAAAAACACAGCAGGAAGAGGAGAGAGAATCACTGGTTGGGGGGGTGAGTTGCAAATTTAAATTGGATGTGGGTTATCAAGGAAGTCCTTGTTGAGAAAGTGACCTTTGGGCAAAGACCTGAAGAAGTATGGCCCCCTATGTCCTTCATCATTATATTTTTAAAAACAAAACATTAACAAGTGGAAGAATCTTTAAAAAGCAAGCCTACACTCCAGCTAGTGTTCACTACAGCCATGACCTAGAGTTGCCATAATTTTTTTCAAAAAAGAATTTCCTTCTTAAAAACAGTAGAATGGTCAAGGTGTGACTATTTTCCTATTGATGTCCCATCAGGAGACCACTTGTTTACAAAAGCCTCAGGGTGCAAACATTTTCATAATGAATCATACTTGGAGGCTGTAATTATTGCAATTGGGTGTTTGGCTACTTCCCTTTCCCTAGCATTTGGTTCATCATAGGAAGGAAGAGAAAAAACCTTATCAGGAGTAGGTGAAAGGTGAAAATCAGCAATGTCTAAAACTACCCGGGAGCAGCCAGGTGTAGCGGGTCAACCTCTAGCTCCTTATCTGAAATACCCTGGAATTCTAAAGTAGCTGCATTTTCAGGAGGTCTGCTGACTAGGTGAGAAAACAGGGCCACATGGGATAGTGAAGATCAAAGAACCAATGTATGTTAACCAAACCATGGCTAAGGAGTGCAGAAAGGATAATTGCATTGAGGGGAGTAGGGAAGGCTAAGGAGACAGATCAGTATCCAAAACAACTTACCCCAAGTGTGACTACTGTCCCAGAGAAAGGTGAGTATGGAGCAGAGACAGAGCTTTGTGGGAAGGATGAGCAGCTGGTTGACCAGAGTCAGCCTCCTACTCATGAGGCTCGGCACTTGACTAAGCCCACCTAAAGATCACTTATCAAAACCCAGTGTCTTCACCTTGGGTAGTTCAGCAGGAACAGCTGAAAACTGGACTTACAAGCATGCCTGGCTTGACCAGAAACCAAATCCCACCCAAGGCAACTGATCTCAGCCTGAGAGTGGCAGCTCCTATGTACTGAGTCCCTACTGTGGGTCAGACATCGACTGGAGGTATAATCAGACTTCATTTTCATAAGAACTTTAATGAGCCACACTTGACAGATGACCAGAAAAGCTCAACGGCTCACCTAGTGTTACAGTCAGTAGCAGATTGAGAACTCATACCCAAGCCACAGCTGGACTCCAGACAGGCAACTGTTAACAACCTACTTGGTCCTCATTTCAAGATGCCCTTCCCAGTCCCAACCAGCAGTCAAGCTTTCTGATGGTATGAATGTGGAGGTGCTATTTCCTAAGCCCCAGGCAGTCACCTGACATTCAGGAGGGATGAGGGGGAAATCTGTGGAATGTTCTGGAAAGTCCTCTCCAACCGCCTAGTACTCACTGGCTATGGGGTGTGCCAGGTGGTTCCCAAGGCATGCTGAATATCCCCATCTCTCACTTAAAATACCTTGTATGGTGGGGGCGGCAGTGGGGGCGGCAGTGGGGGCAGGGTGTCTCACTGATTAGGCTCATGCTGGTCTAACCAAATTCTGCTGCCCTAGGGCTGTAAAGCAACATCTGCCCTCTATCTTCAAGGCAGTGGATGACTCTGCTCCAGGACTCTTCCTGATAATCTTGGGGGCAGGAGTCAAGCACTCCATGGACCCCACCATGACACGAGTGACTCTTCAAGGGTCCTCTAAGAGTCCCCCACCCATCCCCTCCAAGCCGCTGAAGTTTCCACTGGTAGCTTTCACTTTTCTCCTTTTCCTTCTCCCAGATGAAAGTCAGTGGTAGAGCTTTCATGCCTCTTCTTCCATATAATAAGGTTTAAAAAAAGAAAAAAGAAAACAGGATGGGGAGGGGAGCAGATAACTGCAATATTGAAGGCAAAAGGAACAAGCGATTTCATAAGCACCTCATACCCCCAACACACACACACACACACACACACACTCACTCACTCTCTCTCTCACACGCTCCATTATCTAGGGCAGGTGAAGGACTAAACTGCTGGAAAGGCAACTTGTAACCAGAGCAGAAAAGGAAGATGTCAGCCCATAGAGGCTCAGAAAGGCTTAACAGGCGCCTTCAAGGAAATGTGGCTTTAATTCCCTCCAGCCAAGAATCTTCTTCCAAAACAGCCCCTCATTCCAAAAGGGGGCCTCTCTTCTTTTATTCAAGCTCTAAAAGTCTGTGATCAGTTTCCTGGCTGCTCAAGCCTGTGGGCTGGAGAGCACCAGAGTTTTGGTCCCTATACAGTCTCCTTTAATTATAAACATTTTGGTTAACGAGCCTGCTGCCGGGCCCAGCTGTTTCTGGGGAGCACAGTTTTGAAGTGTGGACTCCACTTAGCTGCCATTTGAGCCGAGCCAATTAGCTTAGCCTTTTGACTCCGCTGTGCCCGACCTAACCTGAATGTCATTTTCTGGCAACTTTGAAATAGCAGACTCATGCACACATGTGTCCACTCGCATCTTCATTTGGCAACCATTCTGAAGGCGGCCTCTGATCACAGCCAACATCAAAAGCCTGGTTTGTAGGAGAAGGTTAATATTTGAAGTTCACTCAGACGCATTTCCTGGTGTCCAAAGTAAACCCCCATAAATACGATACAAAAAAATACAAATAAATAACTCATGACATTCCCTGTATGGAACACCAAAAAATCATCTTGTGCTGATTTTGGGACATGCGGAGCAGAAACACCATACAAATGTAGCTGATCCTGATTACAAGAGCAGCTCCTCGCAGAAAGAAGAGACAGAGGCCTCCACGCCACTGACTTAGCTTTCATGAATCCTGGCAACCACTAATCATGGCCACACTTGGGTGGCAAAGAGCCTGCTGCTTCTGATGTTTTCAGCTCCTTCGCTCCATCCTCCAAGCCTCATGCCCTGGAATGGCCCCACAAGCCTTCTGCCTCCAATGCTCCAAAGATTTTGGTGGGAGTCTGGCAGTTAATGTTAAAAAAAAATTTTTTTAAGCCATTTCTTCCAAGAATGCAGGTTTCAGAGTAACAGGCTCATAAAACAGCCTTCTCAGAGGCCTATGATGGAGACTCAAATCCCCAGCCATCTTTAACAGGGCTTTTTACTTAGCAGGAAAACAGAAGTCAGAAGTAGGCTTTGGGAGAAGGCAGTGATTTCTTTTAGGTCCCTGCCTGCTCTGCACACTCAGGCCCTGGCGTGTGGCTCCCTGGAATAACCGAGTGCAGGCCAGCGCTGCCCCAACTTCTACCCAGGCCTCTTGCAAAGGCCCCCGGGACTTAATTGGTTCTGTCGCAAATGAGACGATTGCTTTCCTGGGCTTGTGTCTAATGAACTCCAACCTTCTGGAGTCTATTGAAGGCTGCTTGTGACCCCCTCTCTCCCCCTCCCCCCTCCCCAGCCCTGTTGCCTTCCCAGCTCCCAGCAGGGCAGCCAGCCCCCTCCCTAGCCCCTCACAGCCCGCACTGGCCATTGTGACGGGGAGAAACAGCCAGGGCTCTTTTCATGCTTTATGGGGCGCTCCTATTCACTTGTTCAAGGAAATTTCAAAGGGGCCTGCTACCCTCTTATCCCCTCTAAGCTTCCCGGGATGAACAATGGGCTGAAAGCGATTCAGTTCAGCTTTTCATCCCCCACACACTTTATTTCTCGCCCGGCGCTCTCATCTGCACGAGGCCCACAATTGGCAGAGCTCTGAAGAGGGGGTCTAATCCCAGCCCTGGGAATCCCGGTGACCGCCCAGCACTGGGCAGGATCACACACACCCAGGACCAGTCAGCCAGAGAACATGCTGCATGGCCAAATCTGCTTGCAGCAGAGTGGGGAGGGCCCCAGAGACCCCCATGCCTGGCACCCCACGGCAGCTTCAGTAAGTGCAAACAAGTCTGGAGACCCTTCTGATGTTTTCTAGTGATCCCCACTAGAGGCAGTGTGAGACAATGTGCAAGAGACGGTGATCCCACACGGATGCCAGATGCACTCCCAGTTAGTATAAATGCCCAGGTGGGCACAACTGTGACAGTTAATCTGATAACCTGCCCACTTGGTTGGGAGAGGGCACAGAGCCACCCAGCACCACCAGAATGAACAGCCAACACCATGAGCCCATGGGGCTCCAAGCCTTGCAGGTACCTCCTCTTGGCTTCCTGGTTTACTCATTTTCCATCCAAGGTGGCTGTGCCCCAGGATAGGCTTGTTACCACTCACAGGTGCTACCACCAGGGACCCAAAGGTATCTACTATGCCCCAAAGAGGAAGCTGCTGCATGAGGGACTTGCCCTCTCCTGTCTCTGTATCAAAGTGGACCTCACTGTCCTACACACTAACCCTTGCCACCTAGAATAGGGACTGGCCAAGGTAACCTTTCTGATCCCCGAAAAGTGGCTCCCCCAAGCTTGGAATCCAAAGTGCTTCAGCTAAAGGGGAATGAGTGAGAGCTTTAAAGTCACCTCTAAATAAAATAGAGTTTTTCTTCTGGAAAGGAGATAAAAGAAGAGGAAATGAATGGGGAGGCTGCTGGGGAGAACTCAACCTGCTCCCTTCCACCCCTCCCTGAACCAGCCTTTCTAAAAAGCAGTCTGGGCCGGGTGCGGTGGCTCAAGCCCGTCATCCCAGCACTTTGGGAGACCGAGGTGGATGGATCACGAGGTCAAGAGATCGAGACCATCCTGGTCAACATGGTGAAACCCAGTCTCTACTAAAAATACAAAAAATTAGCTGGGCATGGTGGTGCGTGCCTGTAATCCCAGCTACTCAGGAGGCTGAGGCAGGAGAATTGCCTGAACCCAGGAGGCGGAGGTTGCAGTGAGCTGAGATCGCCCCATTGCACTCTAGCCTGGGTAACAAGAGTGAAACTACGTCTCAAATAAAAAAAAGCAGTCTGATTACTAAGAAATGTAAATATAAGAAACTCAAAGTGGCTCAAAGGTCTCATAACCAACTGGTCCTATTCACAGATCTCCTGTTGAGAATGCTCATGCCTGGGGGAAGGGCAGAGTGGGCAAAGTTTAGGGCCTGTGTCTGGCCTGGACCTGAGGTCTGTCTCGGAGGAGCATGGCTGTGGAAACTCTGGGCCTTATTTCCTCATCTGTAAAGTCTGCCTGCCTACCTTTCTGATTGGGTTTTGTGAGGATCAAATAGAAATAAGCATGGGACTACACCCAAGTTATCTCATCATGAACCCAGAATAACACCTCAATGATGGGGACTGACATGCAGCCAAGGACCAGGAAGCAGGCCAAAAATAGTCTCTAAGAAAACTCAACAGACGTCTTAGAGTCTTAAGTAAACGGCATCTGACTTAGGAGATTCACTCAAAGCCTTCATTCAATTTCAACTTACTCTTATTTTACCCATAACACTAAGATTCCCACACAATCCACAAATTAATAAATGCTACAGAAGGAATGTTTGCTAGAAGCAAGCACACAGACAGCAAAACATGACAGCAGGAAGACTAAAATGAGAAGAGAGAAACTTTTCAAAGGGGAAAGGGTCAGATAACTCTCTACACCCTCATCGCCTATGAGAGAAATACTACAACAAAGTACAAAAATAGATCTTGATATTATTTGGATAACTGAGGGATAAATTTTGCCTTCTCTAACACTATTCAGTGACGATAGAGCAAAATGCATTCTAAGAAATACACCTACCAAAAAAATTATCAAAGGATAATCTTTTCAAGTACCGATATTGAATGCAGTCAATATGGAAAAGTCACTTCTGTGAAACTTCTCCTTTCTCCATATTGGAAACTTCTTATATCTCCATATTGGATGAAAGGTATGTACTAATGCCAAAATGCTATTTTTATTAAAATTCAACCTTTTACCTTAAGGATCTCTCTCCCTTTACTAACTAGGGAATTTGAGGTAACACAATAAAAGCCACCAGCAAAATAAATAGTAGGTTCCCAAACTCACCTCATCAACTTTCTCTCCAATTGGTCCCATGCCATAGGCCAGGCAACAGGACACTGGCCAATAAAAACCAGATAGTTTCAAACAAACTGGAAGAATAGATGGTCTAGTTTTAGAAAGCTAAAAGGAACAAACTCTAAATAAGTGTGCCAGAACTTACACAGTTCAATGGATTTGCCTTTCAAAACTGTTCCCTTAGCAGGCAAAATTCTGACTCCAAAACATTGAAAAGCTTTCAAAGACCATTTCTCAAACAATGATTCTCAGCTGGGTGTTGGGTGAGAAGCCTGTGGGGAATTTCACCCATCCCCAGGCTCCACCCTGGGTCTCCTGAGCCAAACCTCAAAGGGTGGCAGGAAACGGGGATACCCAGACCACAGCTACTCAGCCCTCCTCATGAGACTCATTGAAGATCACTGATCTTCAGCCACAGAGATTGCCATGACTTGACTTCATATGACCTAAAATTCAAATCATTACCTTGACTAAGAGCCTTCTGACCTCATCAGACCACACCAATGTCTCGGACTGTTTTCAAAAATCAAAGGCCATCTGCCAAAGGGCCAAGATCAGAGGCTGCTTTGGAGAGAGCGCCTACTTAGGGTGCTCAGTATCTAACAGAGTAGGCACTCCACTCACACTTACTGAATAAATGATGTCCATTTTAAAAGATAACAATGTGGAACACACAATGGCTCTTTGGAGGTTCCTGGCTTTCTCACCCCCACTTGCTATGCCTTTTCCTCCAAAAACAATGAATACCTAACACAGACCCTTCTAATGCCACCTTGTCTCTCAACTGTTGGTTCCGCAGACAGGGTACCTGGGTTTCTGGACCAGCCAAGCAACTGTTCCCACAGGGACAACCAGATGATGGCAACCAGAAGGTTTTTTAAACTAAAGGAATCTATAGATATACATTCATCCCTAATCTTCCACTGTCCTTTAGTTTTCTTCTGTTACAATATCCTCCCAACTTTCAAAGCTCTAAGTGTTACCCCACCCAGATGACCATGTCCTCCTCCTCAACCAGCACCATACTCCCCTCCCACCAAACCAATGTCCATACACGCACGGGTGGGGTCTGCAAGGCCAGGGAGGATGATGGACGATTTTGCCTACATGCCCACGTGGTTCACACTCCCAAGCAAGCCCATGGAGAGGCAGCCAGGATACTCACACACTGCTGTCCGTCATGGACATGGAATCATCTGTCAGCGCGTCACTGGATATTTCACTGTCATTGGCACTGGTGGCTGGTGCAAAGACATAGCCAGAGCCTACGTGATAAGGGTTAACAGGATCGCTCCTCTTGAAGGACCTATGGGCAAAAAGTACAACAGTGGTTCAGTCACTGACCCTCACCAGAAACCCAGGTCATCAGGTGACCCCAGGACAACCCGGCGCACAATCCCACAATCTGTTCAATGCAAACCTCCTGCCTGAGTCCAGTTGCTCACCTGGGCAGAAAGCAGGGGCCACAAAAGGGAGGCCTCCTGAGCCACCAACTCACCCTGGGGAGAAAGCAAGCTGGTTCCTCTGCCCCCAGTGGTAGGTCGGCCAGGGCACAGAGTATTCCAGAGGCAGCACAGGGGATTCTGTGAAGTTCTAAATGCATACTTAGAGGAAGGAGCAGAACTCTGCTCTAGGACAGGAAGCCATGGACTGGAAGAGGGGAACAAGTCAGTGAAGATGACCTCTCTTTCTGTGCTCCACCTCCCTATTCAGTCCTGCACTGAAAGAATATAACTTCAGGGCCCCGAGACATCTTAAGTATCCAGACTCCCTGTCTGGGGTCTGTTAGCCTAGTCCAGAGATACAAACAGCTAGAGGCCAGTGTGGCCTTCTCACTTTGATCCTTGGCCCACAGTGAGCTGGACAGATGGGACAGAAAAGTTCAAGACAACGTTCAGGACTCCAGTCCCACCTGTGAGCTCTGCCACGAGCCACTGCCATGCCCCTTCCCCCACCCCACCCGCTTCTTTTCCCCAGGGCTGGCTAGTGCTGCAGGATTCAAATGAGCAGCACAGCTGTTTCAAAGGAAGGCCCAGCCCCTCCTCCGGTGTCTCCAGCCCTTTTGTTTTCAATGGCCTCTGGCTCCTTATTTCACCCTCTTGATCTCCTTCCAGAACAACCAGTGTGCAGGTCTCCTGCTGGGCTGCATTCCTCTTGTGTCACCAGTGAGGGGCTTAAGTAGGGGGGAGGGGCAGCTAGGTCAGCAGGCTGTAGGAAGGGACCACGTTAAAGCCCGAAGTCGCAGGAGGCCTGTTTACAAAGATCCTGGCATCCTCCACTGGTCCCAACAAGTCTATGCCAGCAGCAAAGAAATCAAGCGAGGGAGAAAAGAAAGGCTCAGAAAAGAGAAGAGATTCTATTAGTCCACAGCAGCTGCTCTATAAAGATGCCGTGGGTCTGGCAAATGAAAGGGACCCTCGGAAGGTGACAGTCAGCTGTCTGTACACGTTCACCAAGCTCCTACTCACTTGCTATGTGCTGAACTCTGGTCTCCTGGCACCCATGGCCTGGTGGGGGCATGTCACCATACTGTGGGGGTGTCATGAGGGAGGTACGCTCAGTGTAATCACGGGCCCATGAGGAGGGGGGAAGGATCACTGGACTGTCCATTCTATAGATGAGGCACTTGGAGTCTGGAAGTCCAGCAGCCTGCCCCAGATCACACAGCTAGAACTGATGGGCATGGACTGAGTCACATGGCTCTCAATCAGACTGCCTCCCAATACAAAGACTAGACTCAACCTGTTTCCAAGTTCTCATAGAATGAAGAGAAGGATATGAGTGACCCTGTATAGGGAACCCAGATGATGGAGAGAACATTTCTAGGAGGGATGGTTGTGGACGGCTCCCTGGGGCAGATGGGACTAAGATGCACCATGATAGATGAGCAGGAGTTTGAGGAGATGACCGACACCCAGAACTGGGTAAACAGAAAGGCAGTGAAAAGCTCTCCCTAGACTAGGGAGTGAGAAAGGGGGTCTAATTAGCAGGCTAAGGAGGCCTGGCAAAGACAAGGAAGTCAGCACAAGGTCAGAGTCCTGTCTTAGCTGGATGGGGAGGGGCCAGGAGGCCAGGGGACAGCAGGGATGGCAGGGGACCAGTAGGGAGAAAGCATTCCCATCAGCACATAGGATCCAAGGTCTGTCACCAGGCTGGACTCAAAGGAGGGGGAGGGGGGCAGGGAGCCCAGATCCTCACACAATTTGGTGCGAGGGTCTGTCTCAACAGGTGATGGTTGGGATGGAAAAGAAGGTGGGAGAGGCAGTCCCTGCCTTTAAGGAGTCTGTGCTTGTTGGAGTCACCAAACACACAAAAAGGGTCATAAACTTTCTAAGCCAGGAGGGACCCTTGTAATCAGCACAGCCATCCAAGGAGGTAACTGGGCCCCACATGGGCCAAAGGCCTTCTCAGACTCAGAGGAGCTGGGCCACAGCTGTGCCCTGGATCTGGTCTGGCTACATCAAGTCAGATCTTAGAAATATGCTGTAGGCATAGAACTGGCCAGAAGGCGCAGACCAGGGGCACTGCACATGAATCCTGCCACGCTTTTGACCAAGTGACCTGTGACTGTCCCTTGGACACTCTGACCCTGTTCTCATATCTGTAGAGGGCAGGAAGTCTCACGACTTCCTGGGATTGTTTGGTGAAGATTAAATGAAATTGGTAAGATCTTCCAGGCCTTCTTCCTGGTCGATGTGTCCTCAATCCGGAATTCCCCAACACCAAAGGCAGAGAGGAGTGGTGAGAGTAAAAAATGAAACAAACAAACAAAGCTCATTCTTCTGGAGAAGGTTGATTCAGTGAAGATGGACTGCTAGTTGAGGAGGGGGTGCTCTCTGTTCAGCATCCCACTAAAGGAAGAACAGGGGGAAATGGGCTTCAAAAGTGAGAAAGAAAAAGGTACTTCTAAATGGTCAGAGGAAATCCATAGAGAAGGTGGGGAAAGGCGGTGAAATCACCCAAGTCTTTGAAACAGGCCAAAGTGCCCAGCTGTCGGGTGCGCACATGGCGTGTGGATACCGCCACAACGCAGGATGCACAAGATGACTTCCTTGGGGCCTTTTCCTGTTGTTAGGAATCCGGTGATGAGGCCATTCTGTAAACTCTCCGTAGGTACCAAATATCAGAGTCTGGGCACTGCTGCCAGCATAGCTGCGGGCCCACTGGGCTGAGTCGCAGCCTCTGCAGACGTGACACGTGAGCACCCACCTGAAGAGCAGGCAGTTGGATCACGGCCCTCTGCACCCAGTTCTTAGGTCCTCCAAATGAACCAACAAAGCCAAGTAATACGGGGGAAATCACAGGAATATTCCAAAGAAAACCAAGCACCAACAGAGAGTTCTGGCTGGGTGCGGTGGCTCACGCCTGTAATCCCAGCACTTTGGGAGGCCGAGGCGGGTGGATCACCTGAGGTTGAGAGTTCGAGACCAGCCTGACCAACATGGAAAAACCCTGTCTCTACTAAAAATACAAAATTAGCCAGGCGTGGTGGCACATGCCTATAATCCCAGCTACTCAGGAAGTTGAGGCAGGAGAATTGCTTGAACCCGGGAAGAAGAGGTTGCAGTGAGCCGAAATTGTGCCACTGCACTTCAGACTAGGTGACAGAGCGAGACTCCATCTCAAAAAAAAAAGTGGGGGAATGGGGAGAGAGCTCCTATTTTCTCAAATACCCTAATTCCCTTTCACTTTTATCATGATAACTTCACTGTGCTTTATAATGACAGGACACTGGTGTCTCCGTGTTGAACGCCTGTCCTCTGAAACCAGACTGTAAGCTCCATGAGGGGTAGCCCCGTCCTCACACAAATCTTCAATGCTGACAGTAGTGGGTGGCACATGGCAGGGACTCAAAACCTCGTTGAATCTCCTTAAAGAACCTAAGACCATCTGATGGGTTGCCAGAAAGTTTTTTAGTTTAACAGGCATGGCGCAACACCGAAAAAGCCAGAACAGCCTTAAATAACATTCAAACATGCTTCCTTCCTTCTATCCCCTCAGTCCTGCTATCTTAGTAGTATTAACACATCAACCATGTCGCCAATGTAAGAGCTATACTTGAACCTCTATGGGGAGAAAATGACTCAATAGAAAATTCCTTCCTCCCAGCAAAAAAGACACCTAACTCAAACCCCATGTGTGCTCACACAGCTTTGCACTCGTGTTTAACACACAGATCCCAAAATAAACCCGTCTCCCTTCACTTCCAAAATAGAGGACTACTGTGTGACCAGTAATTAAAAATGGAATATACTGCTCTTAACTCAGTTGACTGCAATAAAGTACTTGGATTTTCCTACAATCATAACAAGATGGGGAAGAGAGAGGGGGCAGGGTTGTGGGGAGAGGCAGAGACTCAGTTTTTCAGAACCCAGACTTTTGTCCAAAGTGCCACATAATTTTAAGAAAACGGAGTGGGGCTGTTTTCTTGTGATTACTTTAAAAAAAAAAAAAAAGAGGTGGGGGAAGAAACTCAACCATGCTACAGTAATTGTACCCAGATGCTTTATTTCTTCAGGACTGTTGTGCTTCCAGTTGCTGCAAGGATTTTAAATCCCTCCGGAGAGTAGAGGCCTACGCTGCAGATTCCGCGTCAGCCTCACATCCACAGACATAGTCTGGGATCTCAGTAAGCAAAGGGTTTTCAGCCTGCAGGTGGAAGAAACCCCTGGAACCTTTAGGGAAGGGAGGTACAGGTTGCTTTTTGTTTTCCCCTATGCTGTTCTTATCTCCTCTTAATGAGATGCTGTGGCCCTGCCCCATCCCCATATACCAGAGGGGATCTCCACACAGGGAGTACAGAACTGATCCAACAGAACTGACCATAAAGGGTTTTCTTCCTCCTCCCTCCTCCCTCCTCCCTCCTCCTCCTCCTGTCTCCTCCTCCTCCAGGTCCCTTCTCAAAACAATGCAATTTCAAAAGTATTTGCTTCTAAGTCTGTGCGTTTAGGGCTTTCCAAGAGCCCTCTGAAAATTTACTCACAAGGTCACTGCCCAAAAGGCAATACCCTCTTCAACAAGCATTTTCTAAGGCAAGATCAAGGGGCACTCGGCAAGGGGCCAGGACTCCAACAGCACTGGGCAACAGGGCCTTTTGAACACAGGCAAACTTTTACAAGTGTATCTTAGCAAACTGCCTTCACCAGAGCTTCCATCCTCTAATTGCGGACTACTGCTTCCAGCATATCTTTCCTATGGCATCATTTTCTTTGATAATTGAAGCCAAGCTTGATTCCAATGGCTCCGCACAAAAACGGGCCTCATCAGCGAGTTCTTTCAGAGAACGGGAAGCGGCGCTGGGAGCCAGCAGAGGGCCATCTGCTGGGCCTGGCTTCTTTTAAGGGAAGCCAGAGCAGAGGGCCCGAGGGGAGGCAGATGAGCCCCACCCTGGGCAGGACACACAAGGGCCCCGTGCAGAAAGACGAGGACACAGGGAGGGCTCTGTGCACCCAGTACCATATTCCCCTCCCCAAAATAAATGTGAGGCCCAGCGCCTAATCCCACAACCCCCTCACACACACACCTCGACACTGTGCGTGTGTTTGTGTGCCAGGGTTTTTACATGTGTCCTACCAACAAGTGGCTTTTGCTCTAGGTTATTTATAGAGAGCGTCAAAAGCCCAGGCATCCCCCTCAACCACTCAGCCCAGAGTCCTGCCCTCTGAGGATAATTCCTGCTCTTCCGCCCCAACTATTTATATTAAACCTGACACCAAATCAGTAAGGACACAAACAAGTTGTTAAAAACGAGGCTCCTTTGAGTGCCCACGGTAAACACAGAGCTTGCAAGGCTGGCCAGTGCCCTGGGCATCTGGCTGGAAGCAGCCGGTGAAGAAAGACCCTCCTCAGCAGGACTCACGTTTCTGTTTCATTCATTTTACTAACTTATTAAACCCATCCCAGATACCAGGTACTCTGCAGGATGAGTTAATGTGTGCAGGAGGGAAGGAGTGAATTTAAAAACCTTAGATGGGATCCCTACATTCTAAGAACTATCTGGAAAAAGACCGCAGTTTAAAAAGGAAGTTGAGGCATGGGGGACAGGGGGCCACTCTATAACATTACAATGAAAACTAGGCTAAGCCAAGAGTCGCCCTTTCAAAGGTGACATCCCAATGTGGTTGCCCTTTTTACATTAACATTATTAATTATACTAATTATAACACTTAGCAGCTGTTCACAACATTTCTCTTTACAAAAGGCTTTCATGTTTATTATTTTGGTCCTAGTAACAACAATCCTCTGATACAGACAGAAGCAACGGGGCCCACCCATTTTACAGATAGGCACATGTGGTTCAGAAGGCTTCAACACAAAGTGGACCAGGCTGGAACGCAAACCCTTGAATAACTCAGCAGACCTTTCAATATACTCTGTACACCCTCGAATGTCTTGCACGTTAAAATGAAGCTAGATCATCTGGCTCTGTCGTAAAATTCTCTTTAAATATGTCCAGTTAAGACACATGAGTTAAGACACATGAGTCCATAAGATGCTTCATCTCATCCCTAAGGTGGGAGAAGGCACACGTGAATCTAGCATGGAAACTCTCAGGTCAATGACAAGCTGTCACCTCTTTATCAATGATAAAGAGTTCACAGCCAACAAGGCAGCCCTGGAAGACAGGAGCTTCTGGATCTCAAAAGCTTCAGGAGCTGAATCCTGGTCATATCCCAGTGAGGCAAGCCCAGGATGGGTCTCAACTGCTCACCCACAAAGGGGAGGGTTCACAGCAGAGCCCTGCCTGGGGAGGGTGTCCAAAACCACACACTGTGCTATCTACTAAGGTGACACTCCAGTCCCCACAATGGGAAACACAGAAGCCCCAATCAAGAGGCCCCCAGCGAAGCAGCCTTTACCATGACCCTTCAGCAGTCTTGGCTCTGGCTGCCAGGCTAGAGGGCAAGGGGGTCAGTGCCAGAGGTTCACCCAAGTGTTCTCATAATAGTGCGCGCACCCATAGCAGGTGCCCAGCGACTGACCTGCTGCAGAGGCCAGACCCAGGATCTTCCTCCCAAATAACCTGACTCCATAAGCATAAAGATGCCGAAACAACTCCCTGGTACCCTGTGCTTCCTTGCAAAAGTCAACCTCGTTCCACTTAAGTGTAGACCAGATGGCTGAGTAAAACTGGTTCCCAAGCCATAAGTGCGCCCCCTGGTGGTTGAAGAATAAGCCCTTCCCCTCCTCACCAGCAGTCAACTCGCCCCTAAATCCTGGCCTGCTAGGCTCAGACCCGGCTACCCTGAGTGGCTCCAGATCAACCATCTGGTGCCCACCTCTCTTCCTGCTGCTGGAAACTAGAGACCACACCCTACAGAGAAAGGGAAATCCAGAGGCAGCTATTAGATCGCATCCTGGGCCCCTAACACACAGAGAAATCCACACAGACGGCAAGATAAACCCTTCAGATAGCAGTTAAGTGAAGTCCCATCCCCTGTCCTGTCATAAACCACACCCCAGAATTAAGAGGCTCATTCTCCTTTTGGATACTTGGAAATAGGGAGAAGGGAAGAAAACAGAAAAAATCATTCTAACAAGAGGTCTGAAGTTGCCTCCAAAGGTCAAGAATCTTAAGACTTGGCCATTCTGCAAAGAACTATTTGTCTTTGAAGCCTCAAAGAGAACGTACTCCAGAGCCCCAGTGCTCCCGGGCCAAGATCTCTTCTCCATCAGCACTAACAAAATAATCAACTGAAGTCTGCCCCTCCGACTCATGTGCATTTAAAACCTGGATTAATATACCAGCAGGCTCTAGAGCCAAGGGTCCTTCATTTAGGAAAATCACAGGACCTTCCCTAGTTAGAGGCCTTTCTTGCTGGGTAAATATCTAATTCTACAAAGGGAACCACAAGCTCAGTTAAGCCAATCGCTGGCTCTTAACAGAAAAGCTCAAAAAAAAAAAAAAAAAAAAAAAACCCACTTACCCCTCAATGGGTGCACACGTTATTTCCCGCGCCTGCGCCTCCACCACAACCCAGTTGCCTTCCTAGCCACATTAATTCCACCCTCTACTGATTAGTGGTGAAGTGACCCCTTCCAAAACCGGTGCTTAGTGGATCTGGTGACTCAGAGGCATCAAAAGCTGCTCCCTCTCGAGCGCTCGCTCTCTCTCTCTTTCTCAACCCCTTCTGAGACACTAGCCCGGGATAATAAGTAACCCACATTAGTGTATACTGCTTGCCACTGTTTGATGTCAGCACTGAAAGACTGCAGGTATTTAGATGTGTGCATCACTCTTCCCCTCTTTAAACAACAAAAAGCAAGATCAAAAAGGGTTCATGGCCAGCAGTCCCAGCTCTCAACAACCCTCTGTCAGTCTCTGCAGCACACCCATCCATCCATCCATCGGACTTAACTCAAAACATCTGCAAAGTTCACATCAACTGCCCACCCGCCCCACCAGCCCCTGTCCAGGTCTTACCTGTATCCACTGTCAACTGTTTCCGTGGACCTCACACTTGCTGTGGCCCTCAGAGTTTTGCTGGACAAACCAACCACAGTTGGCGAAAGTTTGCACTTGAAGTCAGCACAAGTCCACTCCTCTTCTTCGTTCAAGGTGGGGAGATAGCCACACACGACCTTGAGGCTCCCCAGTCCCCCGTTACTCATGTAAGTTGTGTTTTCTCCCCCACTCCTTACATATTCGAGGTATATATCAGAAGTCAAAAACATCTGGTAGGCATTTTCCTCCATCACCGACTGGATCTCGGTCTGCGCCTGGTCAAACATGATGGAATCAATCTGCTGCTTCTTGATACCGTCTCTTATGTAGGTCTTGGTGGCAGGCTTCAGCTGCTTGGAGACAATGCTGTTGTTTTCAATGTACCTTTTGTAGATCGCTTTGGCTACTCGTAAAGTTTTGGTATCCTTCAGGTTCATCTGCCTGAATCCATTGCAGGCAAACCAGAAGTCTAAGGTATCCACGCATTTCTCCCTCTCCAGGAAAGTCCGGAAGAGGTAAGCACCGTCTTGATCGCCCAACAAGGAGTGCAAGGACTTGGTCCACCTAGTCAGAGGGGAATCAGGGGATGCTCGCCCCTCTGGCTCCCCCAGCCCATCTTCGTTCCGCCTGGTGTTGGAAGAGACAGGCATGGGTTTGGTGACCTGGCTCTTGCCCACCCCTGGCTGACACGGTGGGGTCTCCCCTTCTTCCCCTGGCACTGGGGGCCGCGGGGCATCCTCACGGAAGCTGCTGCTGGGGTCCGGGAGGCGAGTCACCAACACAGCACTACTCATGGTGAGGGAGCTCTTCCCACTGAGTTTGGGAATTTTTTCTTCTTCTTCCAGTTCCTCTCAGCAATCGGCGTGGTCTGTCTGTCTCTCTCAAGTCAGCAGGGGCTCATCTGAGCCTCCTCTCTGGAAAGAAAAGGAAGCGGGGAGGTGGGGAGAGAGAAAAGGGTATTGATCTAATCAAAACCAGATCTACCCAACATCAAAGCTAGAAAGTAAACAGGCTTTTCAACCCCTCAAATTCAAATCAAGCAACCCAGCTATCTGCGAGGTGGTCATCTAAAGTATCAGACGCTGCTTTTCAAAAGCGAAATCTGAGCTCCCTGCACACTTTTCGGGGTTGGGGATGGAAGGGAGCTGCTGGGAAAGAGGAGGGGAAGGTGAGAGGAGGGCAAGGGCTGGGGGCGGCAGGGGGACATCGGAGGTGTAAGACACAACCTTCCCAAAACCCACTCCGCCAGGGCGCACGCTGGGGTAGCTCACCCGGAGCCTCGCCTCCCCTCCCTTCCCCTCCCCCGAAACCGTCAACTCCAAAGAGGCGCACTCCCAGCCGCTAGGCTGAGTGCAGGTGAAACCAATTTCGGTAAATTTCCCCACTCGGCTCTGCACAGATAACTCGAGCTCCAAACATGCCCCTCCCCGGCATCTGGTTCCCATTCTCCCCACCCACCCGCTCCCTCTGCGCTCCCTCTTCCCACTCCTTAAAAATTCAGAAGATCCTCGTCCGAGAGAAGCCCGCCCAACACAGTCGGACTGGGCTCCCGGACTCTCAGATTCAGCACGCAAACGGCCCCTTCCCCAACTCAGATGTGACTGTTCGGCTGCGCGCCCCCTACCCCCGCCAAGAATACAGCTCAGTCAACACCTCGGTCTTCCCCGACCTCCCCCAAATCAGAAGCCAACTCACTCAGTGGAGACTTTGATCTCAAACTTTGCTAGAGAGCTGAGAAGCCTCGGAACAGTCGCCCCCGTGCCCCTAACCACCTCCCGGAGCCGCGAAATCTACAAAACTGGATCACAAGCCGTCTCACGCCACCACTGCTTGTGCCAAGAATCCCAAACTCTACTGATCTCGAGCCTGTCTTTTTTCCAAAAGAAAAGTCTTATCTAACCAATAAACAAGCTGCTTTGCCTAGCACGGAAAGGATCAAACTAGGAAGGGTAGGAGCGGACCGGGGAACGGGGCACAACCCCGGGCGAGGAGCCAGCGACCCCGAGTCTGGGATGGGTGCGCGCTGACCCCGGCCGGAGCCCCGAGCCGCGGGGCTGGGCGCCGCGGCCCACGGAGTAGTGGAGCTGCCGTGAGCACTGAGCTACCCGGGCGGTGGGGAGGTGGGGCAGCCCCGTTACCTGGAAGACGAAGGCCTCCGTGGCCGGGCTCTCATGTCCTCCGAACCCCTACGGCCCGGTCCCCCAGCTCAAATGCAACCGAACGCCTCCAGAGCCCTGGCGGGCACACCTCAAGGCCGGAGCCCCGGGACGCGCCAGCAGCGCCCCCAGCCCCGGCGGGGGGTCAGTCTCCGGCGCCGCCGCTCGCAGAGGCGCCCGCAGAAAAAGCACAGAAAGCAGCAGCCTAGTCCAGAAATGGCGACGCGCGGAGTCTCTGCCTCTCCGCAAAAGGGGCCGGGGCGGCCAGGGACGCGGGGCCCGGGCGGGGAGGAGGAACGCTAGGGACGCGAGGGACGCGGGCGCCACGGACTAGGGCTGGTCCTGCGCGCAGACTGAGCCTCCGCCAGCGCCGTGGGCCCCTTAGCTCGGACCCGCGGCAGGGAAGGGAGAAGGGGAGGGGGGAGAGAAATAGGAGGCGAGGATGGGGCGGGGGAGAGGCGGGGGGCGGGGGAGGGCAAGCGGGGGGCGCCGCCACCCTTTCATCCCACCTCCCAAAGGCACTCCCGCGAGCACTCACACCCCTACTCACATCCATAACCGCGACAGCGACGCGACCCCCGGGAAGGCTCGGCCCCCTCTCCGCCCCCGCCACTGCCACCACTCGGAGTAGTCTCCTCTCCCAGTCCCCGGCCAACCCGGTCCCCGAGCTGGGGAGGGGGCTCCGGTGGAGGGCGCGCGGGGCTGCCAGGCCAAGCCGCCCCCCCCTCCCCGCCGGAGCGCTAGGCGCCGGGTCTAATGCTCCCCTCCGCGCCGGCCCCGAGCGCGCCCCAAAATAGCCGGCCTGCCAACTTCAAAGGGCCGCCCCGCACATCAAAGCGCGCGGGCCGCCTGGCCGCGGCAGCCTCGGCACTCACCATTGATCCGCGCGCGCGCTCCGCGGCGAGATCTCGCAGGCGCCCGGGGCAGGGGCCTGGCCCCGGTCCCCGGCTCCGCTCGCGGCAGCAGCCCCGGGCCCCCCCGGGCGGGCCGCGGCGTAGGGGAACATGGGGAGTCGCGCGGCGGGGGTGGGGGGGGGGTGCGGGAAACCACAATCTCTGGATCAGAGCGAGAGCCACCGGCCGTAGAGGGGGAGCGGCGCGCCCCGCCGCCCCTTTTATGCAAAAGACCCGACCGGGCCTCCGCCCCCGCCGCGGCCGCCCCCGGCCCCAGCGGCCCCCACCCGGCCCGGCTTTCAACGCAGGTCCTGTTTCCACAGTCACTCGGCGCACCAAATGTCCTCCGGGCGCTTCCAACAAAAACTGCGCTGTGGATTTAACTGTGCACTTCAAAGGCGCGAGCCGAGCGCACGGTCCTGAAAGGGAGGTACGCGCCGGCCGCGCCCCAGGCCGCCCCCTACGGCCCCGACGCCGCTCCACAGGGCCGCCCGGCCCGCGCCCCACTCCAGGTCCGCCTCCGCCCGGGCAGGCCCCCTCCCGACCCCCGCGCCCACGCCGCGGCTAGGCGCGACCTCGCCCCCTGTCCGAGGGGGGCTTTCTTTGAAGCGGCTCCGCTGGGGCCGAGCCTCCACCCCCACCTTTTACAGCAGGGCCTTCGGCGGGCGCCGCGGCCGCCGGGCGGCCCCGAAATCCATCGCTCTGAGGGGTTATTTTTATTTCCCGGCTCTCGGGCTGTTACTGAGTTGCCAGGACCTTATCAAAGCGCAGCCGGCTCCAGCCGACTCCCCCGGGCCGGGCTCGCGGAGCCAGTGATCCCGCCGCGCCAATCACAGCTGCGCTCGGCCGGCCCGCGCCGCCCGCCTTAAAGGGACAGCGCCCCGCGCCCGCCCCAGCCCGCCCCAGCCCGCCCCCGCCGCACGCTCCACTCCCGCGTTAACCCTTCCCCGGCCTCTCCTCCGCCCCCTGCCAGCCCCCCGCGGCCCCGTAGGCGTTCTCAACCCGAGTTCTGATTTCTTCTTTCAAGTTCTCCGGCCTCTTTGCTCCCGCCTCCTCCCGCTGCCTGCCCTAGCCCTCCCCGGCTCTGGAATGCAACAGTTTCTTGTAGCGTTATGGCCATCGCAAGAACTGCAAGCAAGCAGAATTTTTTTATTCTATCATCAAACACTTTTCTACCTCTGTTCCCTGGGAATTTGGGCTTGGAGGCCTTTGCAAAGGGTGTTCCAGCCCTGGGGTCGGCTGGCCCACTGTCGTAGGGAGGACTTGGGCCCAGCCACTGGAGGCGTGTGCATGCCTGTGCGCGCTGGTGCACGTGCATCTATCTGAGTTCGGGTAAATACAGGACAGCAGTTGGTGGATGAATTGCGCTTGTGCATGTGTGAAGGTGGGGTGTGAATCTGCCCGTTCAGACCTGAGTGCTGACACCAGTTAGGAATCACACCTCAGTGCCCTGAAGACCTAAGTCCAACTTCCCAACCTGCTGGCCACCAGACCCTCACAGCGGCACACCTTGGCCATCTCTCCCAAACAACTGCATACCCATTACTCTTCCCAAATCCCATCTCCTGCCATATGTTACATATTAAACCGACATAGAATATCTTTTTCCCGCCTCCAAATGACAAGACATGCCGTTTTAATGTATCGAAAATTCCTCACCCCATTGTCACCTTTGAATGTCTCCCACATTTCCCCAGCAACGTTTATAAAGCACACACAACCTTCTCTTCTCCATTAAAATGAGGAAATATGCCACAAACCCAGAACATTATTTATTCATCTGCTGCTATAGAATGATGCCTCATGTTATGAGCGAATAATTAACTTTTCTTCCTCTTAAAAAACATAAAGGAGGCTGGGCGCGGTGGCTCACGCTTGTAATCCCAGCACTTTGGGAGGCCGAGATGGGTGGATAACGAGGTCAAGAGATCGAGACCATCCTGGTCAACATAGTGAAACCTCGTCTCTACTAAAAATACAAAAAATTAGCTGGGGGTGGTGGCGCGTGCCTGTAATCCCAGCTACTCAGGAGGCTGAGGCAGGAGAATTGCCTGAACCCAGGAGGCGGAGGTTGCGGTGAGCCGAGATCGCGCCATTGCACTCCAGGCTGGGTAACAAGAGGGAAACTCCGTCTCAAAAATAAATAAATAAATAAATAAATAAATAAATAAATAAATAAATAAAGGGCCCTGTGAGGTGGCTCACGCCTGTCATCCCAGCACTTTTGGAGGCCGAAGCAGGCAGATCACCTGAGCTCTGGAGTTCAAGACCAGCCTGGTCAACATGGCAAAACCTCATCTTTACTAAAAATACAAAAATCAGCCAGGTGTGGTGGTGTGCACCTGTAATCCCTACTTGAGAGGCTCAGTTGAATCCGGGAGGCGAAGGTTGCAGTGAGCCGAGGTCACGCCACTGTACTTCGGGCTGGGCGACAGAGTGAGACTCCATCTCAAAAAATATAAATCATAAATAAACAAAGGTGTGAACCAAAGAGATCCAAAAAGTGAGAGACAGAGTCCTGGCCTCAGAGCTATGGAAAGCTCTGACTCTCCAACTTCATGGATGATGAGCCCTTTTAAATGCTGAGATGGACTGTCATTGGGCCTTCAAAATTAAACCATGCAAGAATTGTGGCTCTATCTAGGTTTCCATAGAGAAAGAGAAGGAAGAGGCGAGGCTCTGATGGCTCACCCCTGTAATCCCAGCACTTTGGGAGGCTAAGGCAGGTGGATCACCAGAGGTCAGGAGTTAGAGACCAGTCTGGTCAACATAATGAATCCCCGTTTCTACTAAAAATACAAAAATTAGCCTGGTGTGGTGTTGCACACCTGTAGTCCCAGCTACTTGGGAGGCTGAGGCAGGAGGTTTGAACCCAGGAGGTGTGAGGTTGCAGTGAGGCTGGGCAACAAAGCAAGACTCCATCTCAAAAGAAAGAAAGAAAAAGAAAAGGAGGATCCACCACCCATGCTCTGCTGGAAAGGGGCAGGTGGCAGGACTATGCTCCATCTGCTCTCAGACTAAGGAGCTGTGACAAGGGATGAGAAAGCTCTTAGGGCCGTGCTGCTGGACTCTGGCTCCTAAGTGCCATGACAGGTGGCAGCTCCTCCCCCAAACTTGCCTCTCAGTGCCCATGGTCTGCCCCACCAGGCTCTTCACTCCAGGCTGCCAGGTTGGCATAAACACAGCAGTCCCGGCTCTGAAATGTGGCCCTCAAGCCAGCCAGGAAGGCCAGGGAAAGAGTGTGGCAGATGACTCATCTTTGCCTTCGGACAACTGCTGGTGTGAGGAAACCAGTGGGCTCTAAAAGCCCTGGCCTGCTAGAATTCTGGGCAGTCAGTGACCCATGGCCCCTCTTAGCCACCAGCTCTGAGCTGGCCTGTGGAATCCAGGGCCAAGAACACACCCACCGCGTTTGGCCACCCCAGGAGTGCCAGGAGTAAAACTGTCACTGTGGTTCCAGGGAGTCTTTAGGCCACAGAGGGTGTTATTACTGGAACAAAAGTGTAGAAAGAGGGGTATGGATTGCCATAGACGTGTCTATGGCATATAAACAACAGTAAAGGCACACATGCGTGTGCACACAGACACACACACAAGGGGGTGGGGGAGAGATCGAAAAATCAACACATCTAAAATAAAAATAAACAATGTTCAGAAAAAAGAAGTTTTCAAAAAGGAAGTGGAAACATGGTCTTCCTGGGTGGTTTTCCTCTCCTCCCAGTTGTCCCCACTGACCCATCACTGCCTCCCGCAACCAGCTCTCATCACTGCAGGCTCAGTTTTAACCAAAGGACTACCTCATTATCCCGTAGCTGAGGCCACAGCAAGTGGGGACTGGGCCTGGGACCCAGGAGCAAGGCCCGGTTTGGTTTACATCTTCTCAGTCAATAATAACTCCTCTGAGGGCCGGGAGTGGTGACTCACACCTGTAATCCCAGTACTTTGGGGGGCTGAGCAAGGAGGATCACCTGAGGTTGAGGGTTCAAGACCATCTTGACCAACATGGAGAAAACCCGTCTCTACTAAAAATACAAAATTAGCGGGACATGGTGGCAGATGCCTGTAGTCCCAACTACTTGGGAGGCTGAGGCAGGAGAATCGTTTGAACCCGGGAGGCGGAGGTTGCAGTGAGCCAAGATCGCACCATTGCACTCCAGCCTGGGCAACAAGAGTGAAACTCCGTCTCCAAATAAATAAATAAATAAAATCACTCCTCTGAGAGCATGGTTTCCAGAATAGGTGCTTGGGTCACCTTAGGCCAATGACTCCCCCCACCATCACCCCTTGCCTGTCCCCTTTCCTATAGCTTTATATCTGGTGGGACAGTTCCCTCCCAGCAGGAAGCTGGGCCAAATGCTGGAAAGCCCTCTCTCTAGACTCTGAGTCTCTGACGACTTGCTGATAATATTTCTAGAGGAGAATCCAAAGTCCTGTGCTTATACCAGCCCCTTTCTCAAGATAGCAGTTTTCCATTTTCCCCTTCTCCCTGGCAGCACCGCTATCATGTGACTTGTTGTAATCCTGCACGGTTGCCTGGAAACTGGAAAGCAAGGTGATGGATTTCTGCACATGCTCACTCACCTCCCGCTTTACCTTTAAAGAAAAACTCTGCAGAAGATAAACAGTCCACTTTGCCTAAGTGCAGACAAGTTTAATAAAGCAGAGAGTGATTCTTTGCTTGAATTATGTACTGGGCTGAAATGCTAGAGTCCCAGAAAACAAGGACTAAAGGCTCCCTGAAAGGCATCTGGCCAAATCTCTGACCTTTAGTCAGTCCTACAAAAACCACTGTGGAGGGGAAGTCACACCAGCTGGGACTTCAGAGGAGCGGAGTCCCAGGACATTGCCCTCTCAGATTTAGTAACTTTGTCTTTTATTCCTTTGGAAAAGTGCCGCCTTAGACAATGTTCCTTTGTTTAGGGAGGCAGGTGTAGAGACACAGGTAACCTTTCCTAAGACTGGAGGTTACCTACCCACGCTGAGTTTCCATTTGTTCACCTGTAGAGTGGAGGAAACCTCCCCAGCCAAGGCTCCCGTGAGCCTGAGCAATAAGATCAATGCCTGGCACAGAGCTGGACACATAGTTATAATAGATGTTCAGAACATGGTGGTTATTTTTGCAGAGTAACCCCGTTCCCTCAATAGCCAGTCACCTGTTCTGGGAAGAAACTCCCCGTCTCCAAAGCAAAGATACCCTCCACTGGGAGTGACAACCTGGGGAAGTGTGACCCCAGAAAGCTGATCACAGTGGGGCCTAAAAAAGGGCAAAGGAGGCTGCGCCTCGCTACCATCTTTCTTTTTATTTATGTATTTCTTTTTTTTTTTTTTTTCCTTGAGATGGAGTTTCACTCTTGTTGTCCAGGCTGGAATGCAATGGGGTGATCTCGGCTCACCACAACCTCCACCTCCCAGCTTCAAGCGATTCTCCTGCCTCAGCCTCCTGAGTAGCTGGGATTGCAGGCATGTGCCACCACCCCCAGCTAATTTTGTATTTTTAGGAGAGATGGGGTTCTCCATGTTGGTCAGGCTGGTCTCGAACTCCTGACTTCAGATGATCCAC